CCCCCCCACCGATTCTACATCACTACCTGTTTAGCCCCGCCCACCGATTCTACATCACTACCTGTTTAGCCCCGCCCACAGATTCTACATTACCTGTTTAGCCCTGCCCACCAATTCTACATCACTACCTGTTTAGCCCCGCCCACTGATTCTACAGCAGTTCCTGTTTAGCCCCGCCCACTGATTCTGCAGCACTTCCTGTTTAGCCCCCGCTCCACTGATTCTACAGCACTTCCTGTTTAGCCCCCGCCCACTGATTCTGCAGCACTTCCTGTTTAGCCCCGCCCACCAATTCTACATCACTAACTGTTTAGCCCCGCCCACTGATTCTACAGCAGTTCCTGTTTAGCCCCGCCCACTGATTCTGCAGCACTTCCTGTTTAGCCCCCGCTCCACTGATTCTACAGCACTTCCTGTTTAGCCCCCGCCCACTGATTCTGCAGCACTTCCTGTTTAGCCCCCGCCCACTGATTCTGCAGCACTTCCTGTTTAGCCCCGCCAGCCCCTCCTGTTTAGCCCCCGCCCACTGATTCTACAGCACTTCCTGTTTAGCCCCCGCCCACTGATTCTACAGCACTTCCTGTTTAGCCCCCGCCCCTAATTCTGCTCTTCATGCGTTGTCAGGTGTTTCTCTGTACTCTAAGGATGCTTTTACAAAACTCTGTATGCAGGGCTTCAGTTGGATTTAGTGCATATAGTGATGTATAGTATAGGCATATAGTGCAAGTGGCTGTACTCTCTCTCTCTCTCCGTCTCTATATTCATAATGGTGGCTGTTTGAGACTGTATTGGTTTCAATCAATCATACTCTGCTTAGAGCTGAATATGTTGACAGCTGCACTTCTGTTGCCTTTCACTGAAGACATACGAGACAGAGAAATGAAATGACTGGAGACTTTTGACTTTCACACTGTGTTATTGACCATGTTCAGCTAAATATCTTCACACACACACACACACACACACACACACACACGGCTGATGTTTTATTCGAGTCTTGGCAGATCAGGAGCTGTTTTTAAAGCAGCGATTCTTAAAGACATCATGAAATCAGAATTGAGTCTCTTTGCTGTCTCTGCTGTTCTTTATGTCACGTTATGTTTGAAGATCTGCTAAAACCTGCACTGCATTCACATGCTAGCACTGTTGGGAAGGTTTCTTTGGGTTACAGATAACAAATTACCGTATTTAAAATGTAATAAGTAGTGTAACTATTTCAATTACTTTATTAAAGTAATGTAACTGATAACATTTGATTACTTTTCTAAATTTCTCATTATTCATTTTCAAACATGTAAAGCAGGCAGGGTTAACCTTACAGTAGTACTCGACACTGATTACTATCAGACTTTCTAACCCTTCATCACTTCAATTAAGATTCTAATAATTTAATTTAAAGCGCAGCCACCACAAAATCAGACTTTAGCACCTCTTTGTACTCTGAGATCATTCTGAGGTTAAATACAGATTTAAAAGCATAACAAGAAATAGTTTAATAGCTCTGATACTGTTTCTGAAATCAAATCTCTGCATAGCTATGACAGGAAACACTGGCGTCTAACAACTGCCTCGGGAAACAGTTACTTTAAAAGTTAAAGCATATACATAATCCCAAATAGGAAATAAATTGGTTATCAAATAAACGTGTTCTAATCTGTGTCCTAAACTCCGGAAATATTGTGTCATACTTTAGAGCAGACAATGACATTTTGAAAATAAATCAATCATATCTGTATGTGTGTGAAAATATTCAGCTGTAACCCCCCCCATAATCGTTTACATTTATTTTGTAAAAAATCATATTGCCTCATGTTGTTTAAGACATGCTGCATCATAAATGGAAAATCTGTCAATACTTTTTACACTTTCAACACTTTTTTCAGATGAAAAACTACAATGGATGTTATGTTTCGAACACATGAAAAATAATCAAGGTTTCCACTGATCATTGCATGATTGCACGTTTATATTGATTTCATAATAAAAGTCTGAATGGCTCTAACAATTTTGCTGCATACTCGTTACAAATGAATGAATAACTTCCTTCTTTTGAAAGAGTTTCTGATTATAAAAACTTTCTAATGATAAGTGGTTTGTCAAGATTAATTTAGATAAAAATTAATTTTATCACCTATATTTTTAATAATACATTTTAGCGAATGAGCATGTAAAAACGCGCGACTGCTGTCGTGAGTGTGATAAAAGGCTTCGGTCTGCGGAGGGTCTCTGCGACTCTCACTGACTTTCTCATTGCACAAAATCCAGTGCAATGAGAAAAGATGGAGGCTTGTTGAGCAAATCCTCACCGCCGCCGTCTCCTCCTCGTGTGGGATTTCAGAGGCACTCCAGAGGAATTATGGGAGATGTAGTCCATGGAAGTAAAGCGGCTTATCCGCCATACTCCTGACCAAACGCGCTAAGCCTGAGAGATAAAGAGACAGACAGAGAGGCACAGAGACGCATGCGGATGTTATCTGGAAAAGCGAGGCCTGGGAATACGCTGAAATACTGCAGTCCTGTCAGAAAGAGTGTGAAATGACGTGTCTTTATCTGGAGTTTGGAGCAGGAGCCGCTCACATTAATGCTGGATGGCTAGTTCCTCATCTGTAGCTCTGTTCAATCCACAGCCAGAGCCCTGCCTGGACAGTATTCTGAGCGGCAGACTCCTTTTAATCAGAGTCTGCATGAGCAGCGCTGATGTGAACACATCCAGTGTTTACAGTCTCTCTGTGACTGCAGATCTTGAGTGTTGATAGTGACGTCTACTGACGTCTGTCCTTCATCATCTGCGTCTGAACTCATCAACAGTGTCTGATTCACCATATGATTCAGAATCAAGCCGTCATTAAATCAGCCCCTGCGGCGTGTGTGAGTGTGTTTATGGTTTGTGAACTGTCCTCAGAAATAAGCTAAATCTGACAAAAAAAGTTCCCTAAATGACATATGTAGTAGTTAGAGTAGAAGTGTGTGTGTTGGTTGTTTGTGTGTGTGTGTGTTGGTGGCCAATTACTTTAAGCAGTTTAGCTGGCTAGTAATAGCCTAGTCATGAGTTTTACCAGCAGGCAAACAGCTTAGAAACACACACAGGATCACAGTGAGTGTGTGTGTGTATTCCTAGCAGCTTTGCCTTCAGAAATCCTCCCTCACAGAATCTAATTAAAATGAGAGAGAGTTGCAGTGATATACGGCGAGGACACACACACACACACACACACACACAGTAAACCTGAGTGGGACATTCTAACTATGTTGAGCAGATTAAATGTGTCCGCAGTCGCTCTGGATGTTTAGCAGCTTATAAACGTGTGTCGAATCATGAGAGATGAGCTGAACCGCCTGCCATTGTGTCCAAACATTATTCTCTTTTTTTCTAATTTTATGTGTCCTCATTGGTTAAAAAAGGCTCATAAATCTGCCAAATCATGTTTATGTTTTAGTCTAGTGATGTCTGTGAGAGTTGGTTTAGGGGTCAGAAGTCGAGTTAGGAGTTAATATGCTTAACCTTGACTCACTGATATAGCCAAACAAACACAATTGTGTGTGTGTGTGTGTGTGTGTGTGTGATGATGTTCTACACTGACCTGGGTTTAATCATAAATCTATAGAATCTGTTAACTGAACAATGAGTGACGAGGTTGAGCTTGAAGATATTTGATTAAAGTCTCTGATCAATAGGTTTAACCCTGTAAAGCCTGAAATATGAAATAATAGTCAGAGAAATCAAAACTGTTGAAATCAAAACATTTATTGAACCATCTGAGAAAATAATTTAAAAAATGCATGCTTTTATATCATATTTGTTCCATCAGGCTTTTATGGCTCATATAGTCTGATACAGTGAGAATATGGAGGAAAAACAGCTCAGTTTTATTCAGGGCAAGTATGATGAAAGTCTGATGTTTGTAATGTAAATCAATGAAATCTTTGTAACAGTACAGCAGATACTGACATAAAATGATCTAAATATCAGTCGGTTCATTTCTGTTTGATGCTGTTACATCACAGAGAACAGAGAGACATTTCAACTGCCCTCTCTCTCTCTCTTGTGTCTATCTCTGTCTCTCGCGTGTCTCGTCTGTTGAGGACAGTGTAGTTGTGTTGAATGTGTGTGAATGGAGGAGACAATCTTTCTTTCATGTGTGTCAGAGTGTTTGTCTCTGTCTTTCATGTGTGAGAGCGATTATGAGACACACGGACAACAGCCCCGCTGCTAATTTCATTACAGACAGAAATGAAGAATCCGTTTAAATGCATTTCCACTGCCGTCAGATGCAAAAGAATCAATATCAAGATAAAAACATCAGTCTGCCTATTAAACACTGACGATCTGCTATGTGTGTGTGTGCGGTGTGCCGCGCTGTGATTGTGTGCTGTATTACTGTATTACCGCAGGACTCTAGCACAAAAAGCCTCCCTTTTTCTTTGAGGAATTGCGATCCTGAGCCGAGAGGCAATTTTCACAAGCTCTCTGTCATTTTCCCCTCGTGAGCTCTCCATCTCACACATTCAGCCTTCCCAGAATCCTCCATTCTGCCTTCTCTGTCTGCCTGTCTGATTGTAGCTGTGTGTGTGAATGCAGACGCTGTTTAAAGAGCAGGTCTGTGGAGACACACACTCACACAAACACACAAACACACAAACATACTCGCTCACACACACACACACACAGATCACAAGGGGTTTGTGCTGAGATTTCCAGCTCTTTCTGCAGTGAGTTCAAGGAGCTGTTGTAGGAATTTTTACCCATTTAGGAGCTTTACAAACAGGTTCAACCAGTGGTTCTCAGCCCGTCACGAATTCAAATGCGGCCCACCGTGCTGAACACAATAAAAAAAAAAATACTTTCAGTTTTACAATTCATTTTAGTTTTTACATTAATTCAAAAATGTACTAAATATAGCCTAATGTTTTTATGTAAAATAATTTGGTTTTTCATATACTATTTTCAGACATGAGCAGTACTCACATAGCCTAATTAACGTTACGTATTTAAAGTAACGACCAAGTGGCCAGCGGCAGACAGTGAGCATATGTTTGATCAATTTAGCCTTCTCAAGTCATCACGACTTAGATATAAAACAGTTCAAGCCAAGTACTGTTAAGAAACAGAAAGAAACAGTTAATTAAACCAAATGTGCGCTGTATCCAATAGTTTGTGCGGAGAGTGGAAGCTGAAGCTAAAGCTCTGCAGGACATGGAGGCGCCAGCGCGATCACTTGCATTTTTTTCAGTGGATACGCCGTCATTTTTGCTCATAAAGGTAAGAGTAATACATCATTCGTAACTGTAAAGGGTCTACTTTTATTTGTGTGCACTCACAATAATCAACAAAACCTTGTGCTTTAATAAAATAAAGAAAACAAACATGATGCGCTTTCTGCCATCTTGTCTTCAACAGGAAGATACTCAGCGAATACATGCCTCACAGACATGATAAATATATCTATAGAAAGCTTTAAATAACTACTTAATGAAATAAAATAAAACAAAAACTCTTTCATTAT